TGCCAAAGATTAACTGCAAGAATATACATTTTCTGTTATCAGTTTCTTTCCCTTCTCCTGAAGAGATATGTTTTATTTCAATTCTAATCAGTAATTAATGGGAATCTATAATTTGCATATTAATTTGATTTTTAAAATAATATTATGTAATTGGCAAAATAAAAATGTCTTATGGAACATCGTAAACTTTTTTCCATGTATATGCCAGCCAGACTCTTTTAAGAGATGCTATAGTAAGAATAAAAATGAGATATATTTGGAAAAAAAACGAATTCATTAAATATTGTCATTAAAGAGATGATGTAGATGCATATTGAAAAAATAATTGTTCTTCACATTATACTCATACACATTATATAAAGTATAAGGGAGAAATTTTTGTCAATACAAATCTTCATCAACTATCTTTTAAAACAATATTTTACTGACAGTATTTGTTTATTCTTTGATTACACAATGAATCTCAATGCATTACAGGGAGCTATTCCCAAAGTAGGTTATATCTTAAGGCAATTAGATCTATATAGAATGAGTGGAAGTGATGAAAAACTAGATGATGCATATACAGTAGAAAAATACAATCATAATGTAATTTGTACTAAATTTTAGTGTTTAGTACAGAACTATCCTGTATGCTTTATGACTAATTCTGCCATAGCCTGAAAGCATCTACTGACATTTCAAATATATTTGTACAATTTTTTCCCAGATTAGTATTTTCAATGAAATCAGTGGATTCTTTGATAAAATATTAGTCTTGAATTTCCGTATTTTCTTTACATACTTGCATTTGAAATAAAGAATTAGTCACTAGTAAAAAGAAAGGGCATTATTTTATTCAACATTTCTTTTTTATTTAAGATGAGCATTCCACTTATTTTCTATTGGTGAGAAAAGATGTGCTATTAAGACTACATAAAGTTTTCTAAATTTCCCATAAACTCATTATCATTTTAAGCACATTAAAATTGTTGTCTTGTTGATTAGAAGAATTACCACTTCAGTGACCTACTGATGAACAGTAAAATATAAGTGGTGTACCAAAATTAGCATAAAGATAGAAATACATGACTGAAAAGTGAAGCCTACGAATGAAAGGAATGAAGAGGAAAAAAAAGAAAAAGAAAGGAAAGCAATCTCACAGGAATGAACTCTGGGATTCCCTAAGAGAAACTAAGAAAGGTTGCAGAAATACTATTCAGGAAAACAGAGGAGTTTCCTTTTGTTTTGGAGGCCTTTATATCAGTTCCTTATCCTTCCCAGTATTATGATGTGTCACATGGTTGATTTAATCCAGATTTAATCCATGGTTAATGTACAATTCCAGTGATACCTGATACGTAGGTAAAATCTCCAGTAAAAGATAGTCTTGTCCTGTTAACCCCTGAGCTAATGGAAATGCAAATAACAGATGGTGGTTTCATTAAAGATGATAAAATAAAAGCATTTACAGTTCACTTTCCTGTTCTTAAGGCCTATCAAAAACAAAACAAATTTAAAAAGGGATGAAAACTTGGGAGAAAAATAAAACTCTTTCCATAACTAACTAATAACTGATAATAAACTGTGATGACTAGCTTTCCACTTGGACTAATAGGAGAAACCAAGTTAAAATGGCACGTATCATGGGAAGGGCATATATTTTATGAAGTGTCATGATCCTTAGATATCCTCCAAAGATGATTTGTTTGAAGCTGCCATGAGAAACAGCATATACACAGGTGAGAGAAAGGCAAAATCTGCTTCCATACAATTCAGTTATATGTTCCCAAATGGTACGAGATGGGAGTAGAGGGGAATAAATGGCTAATAGCCTACATATGATAGTGTCTGCTGGATCATACAGATTAAAGTGGGGAAATGAGAGAGAAGGAACAGTAACCACCAGCAATAAAGACGTAGGGAAAGTAAAACTGAGAGATTTACACTGTGAACTACAGAGACCTCTGGATGTCAAAAATAGAGAAAAAATATGGCCTCTGGGAAGAAGATAAAAGAGATTTGGGGAGGTGGGCTTGACATCTGAAATTAAAATAGCTTCTGTGGGCTGATCTGACTCACCCTCCCACTACTTCCCACACTAGAGTTCAGTAAATAGCTGACTTTGTTCAGTGATTAATAGAAAGAAACCAGTGCAGAGAAAAAGGCAGAGGCAAAGATTGATCCCACTAAGAGAGAGTTAGAAGTTCAAAGAAGATATAATGTCTTCAATAAAGGGAAAATAAACAGCAGAAATGATAAAAAAATGGAATGGGAGAGCAAAAGAATACATGAAATAAAAATTATGATGTTTAAATTATATTTGAAGTTATAAAATAAAAAGAACTGAAAAATCATTTGGATATTTCTGACAAAAAAATCTAAACATAAAAATAATTATAGAGAATATTATGAATAGTTATAGAGGTAAAAGAAATTTTACATAATTGGTATTCTTAAAGGAAAAAAAAACTTGTTTAGACATATAAAAGGAGAAACGTTTCCCAAAATAATGATTGAAATCTGAGATTACAAAGCATAGAGCCCTTAAAATGTCTTGTTTTGAAGAAAATTACTTAAACATCAATGATTTCTTCAGTTTTACCTTGGTATTTTTATCTTAAATTGAGATGAATTCAAGTTAGTTATTAGTTAACCAACAGCACATATAGCATAGATCTTATCTGGGTCTTATATTTTGTGAAATTGTCTTTTAATCAATCTACTCTTCTATACAAACATATCCATACAAAGGTATGACACGATATTCACAAAATGTTAATTTCTGGGTAGTAGAAATTTGAAATTGTTTTAAAATTTTGAATGCTTTTATTTCTAGTAATCATGTTTCATTTTACAAAATACAGTGAATTCACTGAGTTAAAAAGAAAGTGAAAGGAAAGGCAGAGATTAAAAGGAAAAATGAAAGATTTCAGTTGATCTACTACTTTAGATTTATAGCCCTCCCATCCACAGAGAAATCAGATAATTTCTCTAAAATACAAACACAAACATGTTAGTTTTATCTTAAAATCCTACAAGATTTTTAACAAATTGTCCCAACAATCTGAGTCTAGTCTAACTTTTAGCAAGTTTCACCTTATTGCTAAGGTGAGGTGATTGAAAAATGACCTTTCAATTCTCCCTAATCCAGCCCTGCCAGGTCTTTCCAATAATAACTCTCATTCGCCTGGATTCATGCTTTCCTCACTTCCCTTGAACCATCCTGAACTTTCTGGGCTAAGTTTTCCTTGATCTTTCTAATTTCCATCTTGTCTCAGACTTTAGATGGTGATAAAAATGTGCTTTTATTTATTGTTTGTTTGTGAAAGCAGGGTGGAGTGGGGCCAGAAGAAGACCAAATTATTCTATAAATTTCACTCTAGTATCATCTCTGTGAAGTCTTCTTTGTTATTACTTTATTTTCCTCCCTATCAGTAAACTTATGAAGTTATGTGCATTCTTTTTCATCATCTATATCAGTGATATGCCCAGAAATATTAGAGCTGGAGGAAAAATATGCAAATTATATGGTCAATATTAATGTTGATCATATAATTTGCATATTTGTTTATCATGGATTTTTGCATGAGTTTTTATTTTTTAAACAATATTGATTAAATATTTACTATGAGTATTGTAGGTTTTGAGATACATATGTTGGTGCCTGAGGAGTATCCCTATAATCTTTGCCTTACTCTATACAATTGAAGAACTTTATTGTACTCCACAATTTCTTGTCTATACATCTATTGTAGCTGCTAGACTGTGACCATGTCCAAAAAAAGGGACTAATTTTGTCTTTATATATCTAAAAGTCAGCATGGTACCCAATACTGGGAAGGAGACCATTAAATAAAGATGAATAAAAATCCAGGAAAATAAAATAACCAATATTCTTTAACAGGTAAAATTTTTCATGGGGAAATACCCAATCTAACTAGAGAATCTTTCTGGACATGGTGGTGTATACCCTGTAATCTCAGTAGATTAGGAGGCTGAGGCAGGAGGATAAGCAAGTTCAAAGCAAGCTTCAGCAATTTGGCAAGGCTCTAAGCAACTTAGTGAGAACCTCTCTCAAAATAAAAAATAAAAACGACTGTGAATGTGGCTCAGTGACTAAGAGCCCCTGGATTTAATCACTGTTACAAAAAAAAAAAAGAAAGAAAAAGAGAGAGAGAAAGAATCTTTTTTGATGAGGAGGATACCTTAGTTTGATGTAAGTCAGAGTTTAACGCTATTAAATAGAAACTTTTTTCCAATATTCATCTATTTGTGACTCAAAATATTGAAAATATGTATTGCAAGGATATGCCAGTATTTACTATGAAAGAATATTAAGCACTTTAAAAACTCAGGTACCATTTAATCCATCCCCTTCCTGTTATTTTAAATAAGAAATCAGTTCTAGAGTGGTTTAATTGTCTAAAACCACAATACACTCAGAATTAAAATCAAGTGACCTATCTCTTCAGTGCTTTTCTCCTAGAGATGGTTCACAAATCTAGAAGAAGGAATCATTGGAAAACGGGAGTGGAGAGTGGAGTTTTTGCCCCTCATACAGAATTAGCACTAACAAATTTTTGCTTTTTGTATTGCCTGAGACAAAATTATTGCTAAGGTGAGGTGATTGAAAAATGACCCTTCAACAGTTCATTTCAGCCTTTTGCTTTTATCTTTGTCACTAACTTCTCTGTGACTCATCTCATCTATTAAAGAAGGTGACTCTACTCTGCCTACTTTAATTCAAGATTTGTCAGGCCCAACCTAAAATGTACGTTTTCTAAGGACTATGTATATGCACAAATGAAAGTCATTTTTAACTGCGGGTTAATCATGTAAATATATTTGTATAACTAGTCATGCTTGGAGGAAATGAAATGATTATGTAGCAGTTAGTGGACAACTCAGATTTGAAAACTAGATACAGATACTCTACTAGTACAAAATGAAATGATTATGAATTTCACCTTTAAAAGACGGGTATACAAAAGCTCCATTCTCAACCAGAACTACTATTCTTTTTTTTTTTTTTTTAACAAATTACAAGGAGTTTGGGATCCCCTAAGTATTCTCATGAGATTTTCTAATGGGTGAAGAGTCATTGGCTCGTCATAGGAGTGTTTTACTGAATGTACCTCTGAGTTATTAAGCAGACAGAAATGATGACAAAAGTGAAAATCATTGAATGAATTTGATGGACTTTAGTTTGAGAAAATAAAACACACATTCTTATTAACACTGCATGAAAGTGAAATAATTCCTTTCTGTACTAATGAGTAGGCTTTCTGGTGAATTTATTTGAATAAACAATTAAGAATCCTCTGCTAAGTTTGTCCTTTCAGGGTTTGGCCACCAATTTATTTTTAAATCTTCGTATACCAGAGTCAAAAAACAAAACCAAAAACAAACAAACAAACAAACAAACAAAACCCAAAACCCCAGTAAGTTCACCTGGATCTATGATCTATAAATTTAAAGTCATTTACTTTTTATCCCCTTAAAACCTACAAAATTTAAAGAGGAATTTTCTTTTTTAAAAAAGGAAGTCAGTAAAATATTTCTTAAGAATACATGAATAGAAAAGCAGAGTAAGTTTTCCTTACCAAAGAAATAAAGTCATTTTGTCTGAATACTAAATGATCAGAGTTTCAAACCACAATTCCAAGCACTGACCTCAAGGCCAGTAATCTTTTCACATTCATAAAATAGTTTATAAGCTTTTTGGTACAAGTACTCTTTATTAAATATATACATATATACAGATTTTACTGGGCCTTATTTTACTAAAATCAATTTGTGAATGAGGGATTTGGACTGGATGATTTCTAAAGCATCTTTCAGCCTTAAAATGTACTGATTCTATGAAATACCTAGAGATAGATTCTTGCCTAAGAAGGATTCTCAAATATGATTTACAATTAATATTTGTGACATTTTACAGGGTTCATATACAACTATTACAAGACAATACAATAACTAAAAAGTTGATGCCAATTAATTTATATAGTTTCTTTTCTAAAAAAATAAGAGCTCTTATCTGCAAGGTGGCCATTCTATCAAAATGTTCCCCCAAACACTAAGAACACTTTCATTCACACACACCTAGAGCAGGTAGAAAGAGATATAGAAGAAAAATCTGGAAGTAACACAACAACCAAATCAACCCAATAGTCCTAAATTGAGCTGCATAAGACAGTGCAAGAAATTCAATTAAGTTGTTAAGCTTTGTAATAAAAGAAAAGTCAGTACGTGAAAATCCTGTTGAATTACATAACAGACTCAGTGGCTATGAATTTTTTCTTCATTTCTTTCCTTTGCTGCTTTCATTGTAAAATACTCACCTTAGTTATTAAACCTTACCAAAACTCTCAGAAAACAAACACAAAATCTACCTGAAAGTACAGAACTATGGACACAAAAAAATGTCCGAAGGTTGGCATTTCAGCAGCTAAGATAGATCCATGTTGGGAAACACATCTAAAAAGTTCTTATTTCTGAATATTTTGTGATTCTGATCAAATTCAGTGATCCTTATCAAATTTGAGACACATAATCTATCAGATCTTACAGGCCCAGATTTTTATTTTCCAGATACATGGTGCTTTTGTCACTTACAGAACAATCTGTACCAAATTTTCATTGTATTTTGAAAACCAAATTGCTGAAATCGTACTAACATTGACTTATCTCAAAGTAGCTAAGTGAACAAATATACCTGTTATCCTCTATCAATGGAGGAGAAACAATATTGTGGATATGATGTTGACTCTAACTATATTTCCTTCATTAAAGAATGCAAAGTCCTCTGCTAGGCTATAGTTCTTCAGCATGCATTGACTGTTCTACTATTTTAATAATATTGTAGGTAACTGTGACAGAGCTTTCCTAGGACACAGTGTCTAGGAGAGTGCCTGGAACACAAGAGGCTTTAGGCTCTGAATAAGTATGCAGGGAGTAAATACAGTACACACCTGAATGAGCTACTGTGAAAAAGAATTCATACAAGGAGTTAAACTTTGGCTCAGAGCACAACATTTCAAGTCAACCTTTAAGTACTGTTTGGCCAACTTATGAAAGGAAACACACTTCCCCTGGTCTATGTCTTTGTTTTTGACACTGCAGAATTTTCACTCTATTGATCAGTGTTTGTTTTCTTCCGTTTTCCTTTCACCGATGTTTTGTTTAATAGGGAAAATCCTTTTCTTGCGGGTTCTAAGAGAATCTCCAAAGGTCACTGCATATGACATCAAATAAATGATTCTGGTTAAGGGCAGTGCCACTGGGAAATTTAGGGTGGCTGGTTGATATTCATTGGGTATTAAAAGTGTCATGGTCTGTTTTCAAATTTCAATGCAAAAAAATGTGCACCACATATCTTTAATAGCCCTATTACTTTTGTTTCAACTTTCCAGAAAGGTCTGTATTCCATCTAATTTGAATGCTGAATAGATCCTTTTTAAACCCTCTTTCTGAAAAGAAAAATGGTTCACTTTCTCTTCACTGAGGAATCAATTAACTCTCCCAATAACCGGCTTATATTTTTTTTAAAGTGGAAAAATTACATAGAATTTTTATTTTAGTAAAGAATAATTATATTTAAAAACATTGAAAAAGATAGTCTGCATTTTCATCATCTTTTAGGAAACTACTATAGCAACAAAATTACATTAGACTTTCTGATTTCTCCATAGTGTCCTTAGATAAGTAAACAACCCAATAGACCATGTTAAATGCCCCAAATGTGACTGGAAAGAGAATACGGGCATATTTGTCTATTTTACTTGTGCCAGATCCAGCAGGTGGAGGAGCAGGAGGAGGAGCAGAGGCTGATGACTTCCCAGAAGCCCCTGGGGTGTTAACTGTGGTCTTAATTCGCTCCAGTCTTGAGCCAAACACACGACGAGCAGAAGCAGATCCAACTGATGTTTGTCTCAACACACACCCAGTGCGACTAGGAGTAGGAGAAGGAGCAGATGGAAGTGCTCTTGCAGCAGATATCGTTTCGGCTGCATTTGCCCGGCTGAAAGGGTTTGGACTAGAAGCTAAGTATGACTTAGATGTGGCTTCAGAGGATTCTTGAACAACTGGAGAAGATTTGCTAGGATGATTTCCCACCTCAGTTCTGTTGCCAACATCAGATTCCGAGTGGACCAAGGCATTTGTTCTTTTCCTCATGTTCAAACTGGCATTTGTATTCTGAAAAGGTAGTTTAAAAATTTAATTGGTTATGTAACTTTTTTTTTTGTAGATTTCTACAAAATTTAAAAGGATGAAAACACGTAAGTCTATCAAAGGAACCTTTATTAATCTGCTGTAGCTACTCGGCTTAACTCAAAAGTATTAAAATACATAGCAAAAAAAAGCATAGATTTGAAACTATGAATCAAAATCTTATATTTCAAAATATGATCCAATCTATAGAGTTAAAATACTTAAAGAAGGGTAGATTTTATTACTACTTATACTTGTTTTTAATTTAAGAGTACATAACTATACTTATAGAAGGTCTTTGTTCAGTTTTATTACAAATAATTATTCTGTAATATGTCATATACCTTTTAGAGTTTTATATATGTTTAAGACCTTTATTTATAAGTTCTTCTGCATAAAATAATAATGGTAACATCTACATGTACATTATGGTTTGGATATGAGGTGTCCCCTAAAAAGCTAACATGTTAGGCCCTGCAGGGATTTTCAAAGGTGAAATGATTAGATTACAAGAGTAGCAGCCTCATCAGTGGATTAATCTATTTGATTGATTGATAGTTTGAATGGACTACAGGCTAGTAATTGTATGCAGGTAGAGGAGGTAGGTCACTGGGTTTGTGCCCTTGGGGATTGTATTTTGTCCCTGGCTCTCCTCCCTGCCTTTGGCCCTCCAGCTTCCTGGCTGCCAGGATCTGAGCAGCATTCCTCTGCTACACCTTTCTTTTTTTTATTGTTTGTTCAAAACATTACAAAGCTCATGACATATCACCTTTCATACATTTGATTCAAGTGGGTTATGAACTCCCATTTTTACCCCAAATACAAATTGCAGAATCACATCAGTAACACATTCACATTTTTACATAATGCCATATTAGTAACTGTTGTATTCTACTACCTTTCCTATCCCCTACTATCCCACTTCCCCTCCCCTCCCATCTTCCCTCTCTACCTCATCTGTGGTTGTTCAGTTCTCTCCCTTGTTTTTCCCCCTTTCCCCTCACAACCTCTTATATGTGATTTCGTATAATGTTGAGGGTTTCCTTCCGTTTCCATGCAATTTCCCTTTTCTCTCCCTTTCCCTCCCACCACTCCTCTCGGTTTAATGTTAATCTTTTCCTCATGCTCTTCCTCCCTGCTCAGTTCTTAGTTGCTCTCCTTAAATCAAAGAAGACATTTGTTTTTTAAGGATTGGCTAGCTTCACTTAGCATAATCTGCTCTAATGCCATCCATTTCCCTGCAAATTCCATGATTTTGTCATTTTTTAGTGCTGCCTAATACTCCATTGTGTATAAATGCCACATTTTTTTTTTTATCCATTCATCTATTGAAAGGCATCTAGGTTGGTTCCACAGTCTAGCTATTGTGAATTGTGCTGCTACGATCATTGATGTGGCAGTATCCCTGTAGTATGCTCTTTAAGGTCTTCAGGGAATAGTCCAAGAAGGGTGATAGCTGGGTCAAATGGTGGTTCCATTCCCAGCTTTCCCAGTAATCTCCATACTGCTTTCCATATTGGCTGCACCAATTTGCAGTCTCACCAGCAATGTACAAGTGTACCCTTTTCCCCACATCTTTCTTCCAAGATATTCTGCCTTACTTCAGGCCCAGAGTGATGAAGTCAGCAAACCATATACTGAATGAACCTTTGAAATCATGAGCCACACATACAATCTTCCTTCTCTAAGTTGTTCTTGTCCAATATTTTGGTCATAAGAGACTAACAGCTAACTAAAACAATGACATTCCTTACTTTAAAAACTTTAATTTCTAAATGCCGGGAATTGATTTTCATGAAAGAATCTTAGGCAATCATACACATTAGTGAAAAATCTAAAAATCTGACATATTTTAGTTTTCATCAAATTAAAATAGTGAAAATATAAAGGAACATTAATTTATTTTTATTTTTAAAATTTATTTATTTAATTATACCAGGTATTAAATCCATGGGCGCTTAACTATTGAGTCACATTCCTAGCCCTTTTTATTTATTTTTTTTATTTTGAGGCAGGGTCTTACTAAGTTGCTTAGAGCTTTGCTAAACTGCTGAGACTGGCTTTGAACTTGTGATCCTTCTGCCTTGACCTCCCGAGCTTCTGGGATTACCAGAATGTGAATGCGTCACCATACCCAACTGAAATATTAACTTTAAATAAGAGACTGTATTAGACATTAAACAGCATCAACAAATGGCTGCATAAATATCTGAAATCATACCACTGACAAATAAAGAGCAATTAAATAAAAATGTAATTCACTATTTTCCATCAAATTGCTTTATTTGTAGAACAAGGCTATGTTTGAATAAAATTTCATGGTTAACCATTAAAATCAATTCCTCTCATGATGCAAAGGACACAATAAATATAGCCCACTATAGACTGTCCACACTATGGAGTAAAGTAAGAGCTCAGATGGCCCCTAAGTAATCATGTCTGACTTGAGAAAAAAAGTACACTTTTTTGCAATAATTTATCTTCCCTGATTATATTTATTTCAAGTTATGTTAAGGTTATATAGTATCTTCTCTCCCTACAATTTTGTGAAATAAATGCTGGGTGAAGAGATAGAAAAATAGAAGGGAGAAAGAAAAATAGCTCATAAGTGGATGACTGGAAGGAGCCAGCCTGGAAGGACAGTTCACAGATAATGTATAAAGTAGATAAATTGTACACAATTAATTGAGAGTTCACTTTGGAGAGGAAGGTTTATTCTACAAATATTTTTCTAAGTACCACACTCACTGAGCATTGTTAAAATGTTCCATGCATACTACATGCACTTGCAAATTATGATTTCAAGGTCGATGAGCTGAGAAGGAAAAACTGTCTCACAAAACACAGAGCCAAAGCAGACTCTGAGAGGTTTAGAAAGCATTCTTCATGTCAGCTTGGAGTATTCTTCTAAGCAGGCTGCTGCTGGACTTATGAGAAACTGTAGCCTAACATATGGCACCTAATTTTGGTGGAGACAATTGAAACCAAAATTGTCATCAACCTAAAAACTAAAGACAACATTACTTGTCTTGCACTTTTGCTCTACAAAGCACATTATAAATGACATTTAATCAATTCTCAGATTTTGAATCTCTTTTTATAGAAATGTATAGTTCATTATAATTAATTCTAAAATACTATCTGCATGATAAGAAATATACAAAGGATAAGTTATATCCCTAAAGTTTAAAAAGTGAATACTACCATTTTAAAGAACATGCACATACCCCCAAAATAATAAATATTTTTAAAAAAGTGCCAGGAGTTGTGGCACATGCCTGTAATCCCAGTGGCTTGAGAGGCGGAGGCAGGAGGATCATGAATTCAAAGCCAGCCTCAGCAACTTAGTGAGACGCTCAGCAGTGAGAGTTGCTTCCTTTAACTAAAATATAAAATATGAAACAGGGCTGGAGATGTGGCTCAGCGGTTGAGCATCCCTGGGTTCAATCCTCAGTATCAAAATAAATATATAAATAAATAGTATTTTAACTGAGACAAAATGTTAAGTATTCTAAGAATAGAGAGGAAGACAGTGAAAAAGAATGAATTAAACACATAGCAGAGATT